TTCCAGTTTTGTGACGTGAGTGTGAATACAGCCTACAATATGGGGTGACCACCTGTCCTTTCAATGTCACGCTTTTTACCCATGATGCTCTTTGCTTCATTTCTGAACTTCAAATTTGAGTTTTGTGTGTCTTACATACCGTATTTTTCGGACTTCGGACATCTCAATATCAATAATGTTGAATTCTGAAACAAACTGAGACTGATCCTTACTCCAGACATCCACGATCCATTGGCAGATTGTGGTGTAATTCGTGTTTGTTGTGTTTTATGAATGTGAATGAGGGTGGATCATTTAAGTTTGTTTTTTTATTTCTTACGACGAGGACTCAAATATACATTGAGTAATAATGTGTTTAATGCAGCTTTGCGCACATTTGTTTATGTTTTACAGAAACAAAACTTAAAACCGCATGACTATTTTGCATAAACTTTAAGCGCTGAAAAAAAACTGCTCTTTCCTTGTGCACTGAGCAGTCAACTTCTGTCCAACAAAAGGATACAACTCAGTGGAATATCTGTTCTTTCTGTGACAAGGCGACAGCGGCAGTGTGCGTTGAGTTGATGCAGAATTATACTTTAGTAGCCGTAATGCTCCAACAATCCATCAAGTGGTGCAGCTTCATAGTTTACTAAAGTCATACTTAAACATTTTGACAGATTTTTGAGCACCGTGTACAACATAAAATCGGTTCGAGGTCAGTAAACACAACCAGAATTAATACATAAAGCACACCGGATTATAAGAAGCACTGTCAATTTTTGAGAAAATGAAAGGATTTGAAGTGCACCTTATAGTCCGAAAAATACGGTAATCATTTTTCTCACACTATTACATCATTGCTCATATAGTGATTGTCTATTATTTTCATTTTAACATGTGGTATTTATTTATTTATTTTTATTTACCGGTTTGTCATTCATATTTTCTTTGCCTTCTTTAGACATGACCAGCATTAAAGGTATACTATGAAACCTTTCTATTAGAGAGTCTTTTCTATCTCCATGGAAACAATCAAGTGACAGCACATGACCGGAAAAACAAGAAAGAAAAGAAGAAAACTAAAACAAGATAAACCCCTGTAAACATAAAGACAAAGCAGATACGTTTAATGCCATTCTATGAAACAATCCAAGATAATTAATCACATCTCCATGGCAACAAGCAAAACCACAAAAGTCACATAACCCTCCTTTAAACTTTACTGGAATTTCTGGGAGCAGGAACCGGGTCAGTTTGGGTCACCGGCTTCTCGCGCTGCGTTCAAACTCAGCCAGAAATCTGAGACTCCCTGACCGGCCGAGCGCTTCATATTTTGTGCGGTATTATTGGATCACGGTGAGCGTATCTCGTGTTATCTCCTGAAATCTGACCTCGTTTGAAGGCAGCACCTGCACAGCCTCAGCCGCATGACACCAACCAGCCAAAACAAGTTAGCATGCTAGTATTTTTAGCATCTGCTTCGTCATGCAGCTCTTTCTAGGAAGACCGTGTTTTTAGATGCGTGTCAGTGAATATGTTGTTTTTTGGAATACGGATTGAGCTAAAACATAAGCTTAACTAGGCTAGATTTAAAGCCACAGGGTGTAACTTTTAAGACAACAAAGCAGACCAGAAAAATAGCATGTGTTTTGTTTTTTTAATTTTGGTTGTGTTTATTGTACTGAAAAACTTAGAAAAACTTGCATCGTTACAGTGAGCGCAGGCTTGCATCTCCACAAACCTGACTCTTTTTCATTAATATTCAGCTTGTTCCTTCAGTTAGAACAGACATGTCAAACTCAGGCCTGGGGGCTAAATTTGGCCTGCAATATAATTATACTAGGCCCTCGAGATTATGTCAAATCTGTATTACAGCTGCTCGCCGGCTACAGATAGACTATAGAGACATTATTTATTTAAAATTGTCTGATTATTTAAAATTGTACTTGTTCTGAATTCAATGTTTAAGCAAAACCATTATTAAACATTTATTTTAATGAGAAAAGGTTTACCATTACATATCTCGAAAGAAGAGAAAACATGCAGATGTTGTTGAAATTTTTTAATAAATATTTAGTTTGGCCCACGACTTAGTCCCAGTTTTTAATTTTGGCCCAATGTGAATTTGAGTTTGACACCCCTGAGTTAGATTTGTTTTAATGCCATAGTGTGGGATATTCTATCGCCATGGAGAATGTTCCGTTAAAGGTTCTATAATCCACAAAATTGACTATTATGAGCTTTCAGATGTGTTAGAATGGTGTAACTTTCTCAAAAACATATCTGGAGTTGTGTTTTCTTTCATTCACATGTTTAAATAATCCTGCATTATTAGTCTGTCTAAATCTCCAAAGTTCAAAATGCTCTGTTCCACCTAGTGATGTCATGAAGTGGTAGTTTTCAAGTTAACACCTCCTTTTACTTTACTTTACTTTTAGTTCAGTAGAGATTGGCAATTCAAGATCTGAAATCATCCAAGTGATTCTAGTGAAGGTGTATGGAGTTTAAAAACACAGTGGAGTATGTCCTGTCTTACCACATGACATCACAAGGTGGACCAGTTTTCTGTATTAATGAAACAAAACACAACTCCATCTATGTAAACAACATTATAACATAGATCATGTAACAGTGTAATTAATGTCAGTTTGAACTTTCTATTTCCATATGCCACCTTCAGAAAGTTACACACTGTAGCTTTAAGGTTTTACTCAAAAGAATCTTCTGACATTTTTGGTGGTGTGGCTACAGGCTTATCTCTTACTCTGTTCAATTCTGTAACTGTTACCTAGCAACCGTACTGTTACCAAGGGCCAAAACTTGCCTAAATTACACAATAGTTATGAATAAAAAAATAAATGACACTTATTTTGTTAAATCAAGAAAATTGTGTTCTGTTTGGAATTGGAATTGTTTGGAATTTTCCATACGACAACAAAGGTAGAGGGCTTCCATTTTAGAACTCAGCGCTACTTCCTGTTATTTTTTCCCCCCACAAACTTTTACTTTTTACTCTTTAGGCACTTTAATACTATTACTTAAGTCAATTTTCCATGTGATACTTTTACTTTTACTTGGAGTATTTCTTCGCTTTCGTATCTGTACTTTGTGCAACTTTTCTGGTGGAGGGTCCAAGAACATGTTACCGCTTTGTCTAGAATGTTTCACAGAATGGTTTAAAACTTTTCTATCTTTATGGAGACCAAACCAGACCACATTACAGGTCAGATCTGTGGAAAGGCTACCAAGCACAGTCAGAATGTTTGTTTTTCTAGGTCTTTTTGAGCTCCTGTAATTGAATAAATGTAAAGTAGAAGTGTTTAGTGTCATATTGTGGAAGGCGCAGACAGAGAAGTGACATCTCCATGGAAACGAGCAGGTGACGGACCCTGAACCAAAATATACACAAAACTGAGTACCGTATTTTCCGCACTATTAGGCGCTGTGGATTATAAGGCACACTGTCATTAAATGGTCTATTTTCAAACTTTGGTAGGTAGAGAGGAGATATCAAACAGCATCTGCTGTGTTGATAAACACAGCGCATGTTTGTTCAAGCGTCATTATGCTTAAACGAGAGGAGTCAGAGCGATAGACACCTTCTAACATTCACCCTCTCTGTGAGGAAAACAAACAAGCACGCAAAGAGAATTTATCGCGGCCGGAAAAGTTAACGCGCTCGTTAAAATTTATCGTACGATTAATTGATTTTTTGATTATCGTTACAGGCCTAATCATATGTAGAATAATTCGCCGCGTCAAATAAGAACTTAACACGTCAAATTGTTATTTATACTTAGATACTTATTCGCATCAAATAAGGCTGTAACACGCGTTAAATATCTGTGTAAATGTGAACAGTTTGGCTTGCCATAGCTACGGGTGTGTTTCGCTGTGCGGTCGCTGTCTGCTCCGTGTGTGTTTGTGTGCTCTGCGGGTGGTGCAGCTTTGTAGTTTACTTAAGTCGTGCTGGGACTTCGTGTATAGGGCGCTCTGGATTGCGGGGCGCGCAGTCGTTTTTTGATAAGGTTGGAGGCTTAAGAGCGCGCCCTATTGTACGGAAAATATGGTACTTCTTTCACTACTGCACTTAAATGATGTAAAACAACGATAAATACTGACCGCAGGTACTATCCCCCCAAACCAAAACATAATTAGAAAAAACATAAAACCTTATACTTTTTAACTTCGTATCTTGGCACTATAAACTGGGTTAAAACAGCAGGCGTGTTCAGTGCGGTGTAAAACAGAGATAACAGCCACTTTATAGCCGTAAAAGTCAATTATTAATGCTACAGTTCACTCTGGGTTCACTGTAACTTTGACCAGAGACAGTAAAATAAACAGGCGGTTATATGAAGCTTTAAACCGGCATTAGACGTGAATTCAGTTGGCACGACAGATTATAGACTGCCGAAATTCATTGATATGTTTTGGATATTACAAAAAGGAAACAGGAAGTCATTCTTTCGTGGCCTAATTAAACTTCAACACCTTCAAATCCGCTCTTTGTTTTTACAGTTTTGTTTTGACACGGTTTTGAGTCAGAGATTTGGTATTTGATTGATGATTTTACTCACGTGTTTTATTCTTCCGTGTTTGCTATGAAAACATAAACATTCACTAAAGCTTTCCAATTTACTTTCCAATTTTTACATCGTCTTTAATTTATTTATACACATTAAAGCTCATAATATCGGTTTTTAATTTCTTTACTGTCGTGGCTTGTATCAGGTTTGAATTTGGGTGCGTAATATAACGGAAAGTATCGAAAACAAGATTAGCTGAAGCAATAATCGATAACATTTTGCGTTCTTTTTTTTTTTTAAAGATAAAACAGTAGGAGATGCGTCAACTTTAAAGATGCACTGTGTAACTTATCTTCTGGAGGGTCCGTCACCTGCTTGTGGAGACTTGCGAGCCAAATTACACATCAGGTTTGTGGAGAGGAGAGCCAAGTCACAGTAAGAATTTATATATGTTTTTTTAGATATTTGCGAGTAATTAATAACAATACATTCAAGACAGATTTGTTTAATGCCATACTGTCGACAATTGAAACCAAAGCATCAACATCGCCATGGAGACAAGAACCAGAAAGGTTAAACAGTGCAGCTTTAACATGTCAACAAAGTAAACACATCTCTACTGTCTCTGATTGTCTTTAAAAAGAGCCCAAGAAGTTAAGATACAAAAAAATATTAAATTAACATTTTTGGATTCATAATTACAAACTAACAACAACAAACTAAAAATACGGCAGGGGCTCATATATATGCTGTATTTGCTAAATGAAAATGTGTTTTTAAAATGAAAAAATCCTAAATCAGCCTTCATTTCATCGTTTTTGTCTGTGTTAAGTTTTCATTTTTACAGACTTAGAAAATAAGGCATGCTCTAAACTGGAATTATAATGTATCTATTAAAACTGGCTGTCACTGGTGTTGTTGTTGTTCTATTACCACTGTGTTTATGTTAATAACTATATGAGATTAACCAAAATTATCCTGTTACTTGTATTGTATCTATGTGTTATCTTGTTTTATGTGTTTTTGTGGAACTATGTGTTTGTAACTGTATCTCGTGTGTTCTTGGTCCCCCTTGAAAACGACGCTGCATCTCAAGGGGTTTTCCGTGAATAAACTGAAATTAAAATTCAAAACAGTGACATAATATTGATACCAAAGTACTTAAAAGTTATATTGTAATCTTTGAATCTATACCAGTCAACAGTTTGGACATACCTTCTCATTTGACATTTTTTATCCCTAAATGTTTACTACTTTTATGTATTTACAATCATGATATATACGGAAGACATCAAATATATGAAGCAAGATGTATGGAATTATGTAGTGAAGAAAAAAGTTTTACACCCTTTGCTTTGTGAACAGCGCTGCAAACTCTTGTCCTTCTCTCTCTGAGCCTCCTGAGGAAATCTGAAAAGGTTTTCATGTCCCAGCTGTACCTTTTCAGGGTCAAAAAATACCAAAAATGCAAAACATTGGTCAAAGCAAAGGGTAAAGACTATTCTGAACTTATTTTGTGTTTGCTACATTCCATTTGTTTCATTCATAGTTCTGAAGAGTCTACAACATAAATACATCCTAAATCATGTAAAATAAAGAATCAAAAATGAAAGAATGTCCAAACTTTTAACCAGTAGTGTAAATTACGTACTTTCCTGTAGTCTAACCAACTCAAAAATACTCATCTACAAAATCATGTTTCGTTGCTGCCCTACTTTGTTGACGTCACCACTCCTTCCATAGGGTAATATAAGGTGCAATAACATACAGGACTGTCCCTTCATTTAGCGTCAGTTGTCACAGAGTCACCAAGGCTGTTGTTTCATTTATGACACTAATATCCTGTACAGCAGAACTCTCCACTCCGGAAGCTCCAGTCCACCTCCGGGCTTTGTTTGTCCAAGAGAAATCACACCTGGGCTATTTCATTTCACCTGCACAGCCGAACAGTCAGCAGGAGAGGAGCAGGAGCAGTAGTATTGTAATAGTAGTAGTAGTAGTAAGCAGGTGGAAGCGTAATGTAGTAGTTCACTTTGAGGTCACAGCCTTATCTCCCCCTCTGGTCCCTCTGACGTAGAGTCCATTCGGCCTCTGTCCAGACACTCACACGGGTCTGTCAAAGCACTACAGGAGATTTCTGTATGATTTAAACCTCCTGATGAGGCATGATAAGGGTTCAATTAGATTGTGTTAAAATTATTACTACAGGGAGTCATTTAAGGCTAATAATCGAAGGGCTTTCCAAAGCCACAGTATTAAATGTAAAGTTATCAGTGAGGGAAAGGCCAGTACATTCATTATTTCTGACAATTAGCTACATGTGTAAATGCCTCACAGTTTAGTGCCCCTTGACCGTGCCCGGTACAGAGAGCACAGAGGACCCAGAGGAGAGAGGGGCCGCGGGATCAGAGGTAGACCTGCGGCCCGGGGTACGGCTCTGCCCCGCACCAGAAGTCCTCGGGCTGAGAGATCTCCCGGAGCCACATCTCCTGCCCCGGCTGGCCCGCGCCCTGACCCTCGGCTTCTGTCAGGACCGTGTAGTAGTGACAGTCTCTGCCGTTATCCGGGTCGTACGGCGGGGCCAGGATGTCCATGAACGCCGTAGGACCGTCCACGGCGTCTATCTGGTGGAGGTTGTCCCGGTCCGGGGAGAGCACGCAGGGCCCGCTCTCCGGGGTGAACTCTCCCGTGGAGCGCAGCACCGACAGCCGCAGAGAGTCCGTGTGGGCCTGGGGAGGGCTGGGCCGCTGCAGCCGGTCGAAGCAGCTGATCCGGACCTTCCCGTAGAGCACTTTGAGCATGCCGTACATGCCCGGGTGGTCGTGGAGGGGGATGGAGGTGCCGCTCTTCAGCAGAAATATGCCCATACTGAAGTGGTCCGTTTCGCAGATGTGCATGTACGTGACCGGGGGCTGGAAGGAGCGCGCCGGGGACAGCCCGCCCGAGCTGTCCGCTTTCGGCGGGACTAGCTTCAGATCCGCCGCGCTCACCTCGGACATGAGGCTCTTGAGCTGGCCGTGGTTCTCCTGGAAAGTTCTCCCCACCTCCTCTCCGATCCTCGGCGGGTTTCTGAAGGTGACCAGCGCCTGTCGGGCTATCCTCTGCACCAGGGAGCTCATGCTGCTGTCTCCGGGAACCATTCCGTCCGAGCAGCGCACACCTCCGCACAGCTCCGCGCACAGCTCCGCACACTCGCGCTTCTGCCGCGGCTAGCGCTAGCGGCTTAGCTAGCACCCGAGATCATCTATTTATGCGACAGCCTACTCTCTTAAGGAGATTTGAGGCCTCAGCTTAACTTCACAAATCAAATGCGCAAGCAAATCCTCTCAGTGTGTTTTACATTTGAATGCAAATCACAGTGCCCAATGTATTCATAAACACAAAGAGAAAAGAATACCAAGCACGAACAGGCTGTGTTACATTAACTTAGATCGCGGACTGTAAATACAGTGCGCTGTTTCAGAGTGAGGGCTCTTAGTTACCTTTGATCACGCAGAATTCTTTTGACTCAGTTTGATTTTGTCGCTTGTTCCGTCTCGGGCTTATGAAGCTAATGGGCCTGTCGACCCACAGCATTTTATACTTTTATTATGTACTTGTGTCAGCTTTGTAGACGCGAAATGCCGTGCAATAAACTGAACTGTTCCCCATTTTTGAATATCTGTCAAACACGTACGCATCTCCCGGCACCAGACCACCACTACCACGCGCCCTCTGTTAACACCTGGGGCATTCTGGGAAGTGTAGTCATGGATGTAGATAAAAACCTGTCTTGCTTTGATAAAACCATAAGCTATTAAAAGTTATTGGGTTTCATAAAATGTTACAGCCTGAGCCTAGCACACTGCTGCTTTAGAGTCGTGTGTTACAGTGAATTCTACAGCGGCCTATTCAAATATCCTATTGTTTTTGAAAGCACCATGATGCTGCTGGAGGAGCCTTTCTGCATCTCTCAGTCAAGTCAAGCTCACTCACAGTGTTCACTTAAAAACAATGAATAAATTAATGAACTTTATTAAACCGATTTGATGTGAAATTTGGCTTCATCTGGCTTAAATTGTAAATGAGCAGTTACACATTTGGGCCGGTGTGGTGAGTTCGGGGAACAGGAAACAGTAACAGATCCCATCATCCCAATCCCTTTATAGACTTTATTATAATTTCTGCAGATTCATTAAAATCTTCAGACCCTACACAGGGTCAAATTAAACCCTTGAACCATGCAGAGAGACACCAAAACAACTGCTTCTGCAACGGCTGAATTGAAAGTTTATTCTAGCTTTGCTGCCTACAATAAAATACTGACAAAACTGCTCATAATTAGAAGAACCTTATTCAACACCATAAAATAATTTCTCATGTTGATCAGTGAGAGTGAGGGAACGTTATGTGGCAGAAGTTTGACCTGAGCTTTAGGGTGACCACCTGTCACATCAAGTCTAAAGTCTATTGTGTTCTAAATAAATGGTCAAACACACAGTAGTCCAATCAGATTCTTTACAGCCAGTGACAGACAGCCTTTGTTTTCATAATCCAATTCATTTTAAATTGATTCCTAAAGTCCTAGCAAAAGTCAATATTTAGGGTTTAAGTCAATACTGTCCAGTCATCAATAGCACAGTTTAGACATATAGTCTTGGTTTAAAGAGATTTATGGTCAACTGGTCCCTCTCGAAAATGGCAGATAAATAAAGGATGAACAATAAACCTGGTTTATTTTTTGTTTAGAAGAAATAAACATCTTCATAAGTTTGTAATTAACCTATAGACCTGGAACTAAACCTAGTTTAGACCTGGTTCCATTGGTTTAGTTTTTAGTTTAATGCAGCTTTCACATTTGCATCCTCAATATTTGCATAATAAAAAAACGTGACTAAACCCAGAACTATAAGCCTGGAGGATGAGACTATAACAGGACCAAACCAAGACAACTTTGAAACAGTAATACATTTTAAAATACATTGTTTTTCTTTAATTTCCTGTGTATTTTAATTCTTGGATGTGTTCTTGCTGGTGTGGAGTGAAAATATCAATACATTTTAATATAAAACTCATTGGTATCAATACTGCGATAGTTGCCACAATCCTACTTGATATCAAAACAAAAATCACTGATATCACCCTTCTCAGTTCACTTTACCTTTCTGAATCTTATTTCTTCTCGGTTTTGTCTTTAAAGTTGTGCTAGCATCCCATCCCTGTGTGGGAGGAGATGGGCTGACTCACACTGACTCATCTGGAGGAGGTCTGATCAGTGTGTGGAGGTAGAACCATCATGGAAGCATCTCTACAGGGAAACTCCCGCCCCCACACCCCATAAAGAGGCACGATGCTCGGGCAGCTTTACACACGTCAGCCTCCGAGTGTGGAAGCTACGGAGCTACGAGGAAGGAAATGAGAGACCACCTTCGGTCATTTTACGATTTAATATTAAGATTTGTGAGTTTTAAAGATGAAGCAGCATAATTAGTTTAACTTTTTTCCTGAAGATTAATGATAACCTTTATGTATTTAGGGACACATATATCCAGCTCTTGAGCTAGTCAAGGTCTAAGAGATTGTGTCACCCATTGCGTTCAACTTCAGTCAAATTATGCTCAACAAATCGGTGTGCATCCCAGTAATGAAATTATTGCACATCGCATCAGTTTGTAGTGTATTGTTTTCTATCATGTTTTTATGGAGAATTGTCGTGTGGGAGCCTGGATGACATAGGCTTGTGGGCGGAGCTTTGGACAGGATCATACTTCTAAGGAGGGTTTGAATAGGGCCGGGGAGAGATTGCTAGATTAGTCAAACATGCATGGATATAAAAAACGCTTCAGGCATGTTTTCTGATAAGGGAACAGCATTATAACATGCTCAAAAGCTCAAAAAGTCCATTTTGCGATAGCCCATGACTGAACAAAGAAGTATTGAGAATTTGAGCAACACACATGCCCGATACAAAAGTGCAGTGCTACTTTGGACATCTTTAATTCCCTCTCATATTACGCTTATGTCACTGCTTTTCACTTTTGTGCTGTTCTCATCTGCAGACCTGAGTATCTGTTACACACTGAGGCCTCTGTTACTCCGGCAGTCTCCTCTGGTGCTCTGGTACCGTTGGACGGGCCGTGCCAAAGCCAGAAACAAACCCAGGAAACTGAACTCTCCGGAATCTCACCAACATCTGACTCTCCCACGGTCTCCATCTGCAGAGTCACGGCTCTGTGGGCAAAGACTGTTAAAAAATGTTGATTTGGGATGGGATAATATGGCACAGATTGAGTAGATGAGAATTGCCGTACACAAAACTCACAATACAAACTAATCTATACAGAGACTGTTACTGACCAAGTACAAATGTACAATGTACAAAATGATAAGATACAAAAAAGATATAATACCAAAATGATTATTAATTTGAGCCTGAATAACTTTTACATTTAAATTGTGATTGTAATTTATGTATAATCCATAGACTGTAGAACTGGGGTCTCCAAATTGTAGCTCAGGAGCTTCCAGTTGCTCTCCAATCTCTTGACAGTAGCTCATCATGGGATTTCTGAATTATACCTACTCTACTGAATAACTCAAATTTGATGAGTTAAATGTCGATTTCTGTTGTAAATATGTCATTTTGATGCTTAAGTTTGTGCAGTAATGAATGGATAATGGTTTATGTTTCATACCCCATCTATGGCTCTTATATTTACTCAGTTTCTTGCTACTGCTCTGGCATTTCCATCTTGACAAAGTAGCTCACCGGAGGAAAAAGGTTGGAGACCCCTGCTGTAGAAAGAAGCCAACTAAGGGAGTGTGGCATCACCCATAGCACTCAGCTCCAGTCAAATAAAACTAGGAATTGATTTATGGACAAAATAACTAATAGCTAAATAAAAACACCAGGATTAAGTAGAGCAGGTTAATATAAACATTTTAAGACCAAAATGATGAGTCTGACAGCAGAGTTGGAAGTGCGCCCATGCTCACTTCCTATTAGGACATGGCAGCTAGTGATTATCTATGTCCATGTACATGTACAGTTCATGGTATAAACCCCTACTATGATTACACACGATTGCATTGTTCATTCTGGATGAGGCTTGGTCACATTCTGTGTCATCGGTGTATTGATCAGCTCTTCTAACAGTGGGTGTGTGAGGTTAGAGTCAGGACCTTCTGTTACAGCCACAAATGGTCAGATCACATCAGTGTTGATTTCTCGACCACTGTTTCTAATTCTAAATTGAATAAATTAGTGTTGCTATGACAACTACACAACAACAACAACAACAACAACACAATGCAGCTGGGGAAAGTCACAGACGGGACATACTGTATAGCAGAGCTGTTTTACAAAATTATGCCACTGTTAGAGGTACATTGTATAGCTTTCCTTGAGTAGGGTACACACAGCCCCTGTTCCCATGAAGCCAGGTCAAATATGTGGAGAGGCGAGTCCACTCACAGTAAAATGCAAAAGATTTTTAACCATAAAACACAAGTATTTTATTAAATAGTTCTGATAGATGAGGTAAATGTCAGTTACATTCATTTCAGATTATAAACCAGATCATGTCCTGACAGTTACTCTCATAATTACTCTCCCTCGAATAAGCATTTTAACAAATACTTTTACTTGTGTACTTTCTCAGTCCACTTCTTTGTACTTCATATTGTTTTGATGCTACATTATTTGGCTACTCTCCCACCTCTTCAGTAAATCCCTGGAAGTAGTCTTAAAAAGCAGATAGAGACGATTAGCTCCGTCCCTCCTCTCCTCCTCCTCTCCTCCCCCTCCCCCTTTCCTCACCCGCCCACTCACAATGTGACTGGGCCTAATATAAATACCACATCTCAGCTCTGGGTTGTGACGTCTTCCTGTCAGGGCAACATGTTGTTTTTCGCTGGTGAGGAGGAAGTACAGGGCTGCTGGAAATAGATCACGCGTTCAATTTTAGCCCTGATGCCTCGCCAGAATGGAAGGGGCTCTGGCTCCCTCCAAATGAAATAAACAGGGCAGAAATGATGATGAGACAACACGCTAACATACAAACACTAGCTCGTATGATTACAGCTATATTTACAACACTGTACCAACACGGGGTTAGGTCATGTTTGGCTGTGAAAATTTGCTGAAATGATAAGATGTTTCTATTAAAGAGCGACTAAAAACACACAAGTATGTTTCAGATAAAGCTACTAACCTGGGCAGTACCTGGAGGACTAAAGGGAAGAGTGAGAGGGAGGAGGGGCGGAGTCTGGAGCTGTAACAAACACTGTGATTGGTCTAACAGGTATCCACTCTTCAAACTCCGCCCCTGCAGTCAGATGTTTGAAAACAGAAACATTGGGCTGTAATCAGGGCAGTGCTGTGTGATGTCACATAGTACTTGAGATTGAAATGGCCATCAGAGGCAGCACTCATTCAGCTTTGACTGTTTTTGACCAGAAAGATGCAAATAGGAAAAAAGGAACAGGAGCCAATACTGTTGAAACATACATATACCGTATTTTCTGCACTATTTGTCGCTCTGGATTATAAGGTGCACTGTCATAGAATGGTCTATTTTCAAACTTTTTTCCACAAATAAACTTCACCGGACTTTAAACGAAACACAACAGTTGGATGGGTCAGTGGG